AAAAAAAGTTTTCTTTATATTTCTTTAAAAAATCTCTATATTTACTATTTGAAGATTTTATATATAATTTATATATATATCTTGTATAACCTGTATCACATAGCTCTCTAGATGACTAGTGAATTATCTATTAAAGTAATACAAACTTAAAAATACTTAGTTTTTTACTATTTTATATAGTAAAATATAGTAAAAATATTGTAAAATATTGTAAAAATTAATTAAATTAAATGAATATTTCTAACTATAATTGGTGATGATTATTACTAGTATCACATGACTATGATTAACCAATAAAAATTAACAATTACTATATTTTTAACATTATTTATTTATTTATTTCTTATATAGCAAATTCATACATTTAGGCTCTAAACTATTTTATCGGTTATGCATAGCTAAACATTCCCAAACACCCAAAACAATTTGCATAGCTTACTTTGCTTACCTTCAGTTGTTCACTACGGCTACCATCTCCACTCTACACTCTTTTCCTAAATATATAGCATCTAACTCTACCCTAATTTTACTGAAAAATGATATGTGATAGGATTTACTTATTTGTGCTAGTAATACAAAAAAAAAAATTTAATTTTGCAAATAAACAGAGTAAAAACACAAATTCAGAGTTAGAACATTAATATTAGAAGCTATATCTATAGACTATTGCTTATTATCTGTAAAATCTCGTTTCTGACATCTTTAATTAGTGTATTAAGGTCGATTTAAATATGAGTTTTTGAAGTTTTCACATTTTTTGTCTTTTATATGCATTCGAAATTCGATTTAGAACAAAGCACTAATTGCTATTTCCTATTTCTAATGATACCCATTATCTGAAAAGAAGAATTGGTTAGTATATACAATCATACACTGAAACAACAAAATAAAAAGAATATTTAGCTATATATAAATAGTCTTTTCAAAACTAATTACAAATCAGCAGTTAAATCACCACCCTAATTAATTTTGCTAGTCAAATAGATTTTAAGATTATTTATAATATAAAAGAAGTACAAAAATTAAACCAACAAAAAACTGCTTATAGCTAAACAAAATACTAATCTACTGGTGAGACTCTAACTCTAAACTAATTGCCAAATAGTTTTTTTTAATTAGATTACATAGTCAGCAAAAATTTTTAGAATAGTGATGCAAGACTATATAATTACGATTAAAGAGTTCAAAGCCCACCACCTAGCAAAAGAACCCAAATCAGAAAATGCAGAAACCCGAAACCAAGAAATCTATTACCGAATTCGATAACACTAGCGATAAAATAAGAACCACCAAATTTGATGATACCAGTGACAAAAGAATAACTACCAAATTCGACAGCACTAGCAACGAAACAAGAGCATCAAATTTGATAACAAAGTAACAAAGAAGAAACACCAAATTTGATGATACCAATGATAAAACAAGAGCTACCAAATTCGATAACACCAGCATGAAAGAAGAACTAGGGAAAAACCTCTAACTCGATAATACCAGCAATGAAGAAAAAAACATCGAATTATGAAGTACTGAATTTGACGACATGAAGAAAGAAACACTGAACTCAACAATACCAACGACAAAAGAAAGACAAAAGCATTGAACAATGAAATAAATAAAAATATAAAACTATCACCTGAAGAAAAAAAAAATAAGTATTAGTACTAATTAAAACAAAAACAATAAAAAAAGCAAAAAAAAATACAGATCTTATTTATATCTGGTCTGTATAACTGGTGATGATTACTGCTAGTTATTATAAGTTATTTTCAAATTAAATTATTTATAACTTTTTATATACTAAACCAATTTTATTGATTTTATTATCATTAGAATCAAAAAAACTAGCTTTATAACTTTTACTAATATTTTAAAAGAATTTAATCAAATAAAAATTTTGCTATTTATAATTTAGTAATTTTTTAATTATTTTTAATTACTTTTTAGTATTAAATTAAATATTTAATTTATTAATATAACTTTTAATAAGTTAATATACAAATCACGAGTTAGGGGCTTCCAGAAATCAGCTGATTAGGGTTTACTAATAAATCGTTCGAACCCACCCCACCCCTCACCTGCTAGCCAATCAGATTTCACGTTTATTAAAACGTATAATTAAATTATATATAATATTTAATATTGAATAACTTTTGATCTACTGGACCGATTTGGATAATTTAACTACCAAAATGATCCTCTCATTAAGAGGATTCTAAAAAGTTCAAAATCATAAAAATCCAATTACTAGATGCTAAGATATAAATAGTTTTGTATTACTATATAATAATATAATAAAATA